AGATTTTGTGGTATCAGATTGTGGTATAATAAGTTTCGAGCCTTGTGCATTTGTGGGACCCTCTCACAAGTGTACGGCATTTATCGCGCCTCGAATTTGGGTTTTGGGGCGTGACATGCTTATAAAAGGCTTGTCATTGTCCTCTTAAAAGTAGACTCCTATTTGGAGAAAAATAGTACCAATATAGAAAATACAAATAACATCCTGTTGTTATCAAACTAAAATAGTCCTCTTTTGCACAATGATTAATTGCCATAGAAATCCTTGTATGAAAGTGATAGTTTTGCCTCTTGAAGAAGTGAGATCCAATGGTTGGTTTCATGAGTGCAAGGCATAATCAATAAGGCTTCATTGTATCTTCCAAGCATTTTTGGCTAATCCCTTTACATGCTGAAATGGTTAGGACAAAAATAGCCCAAAGGAAAGTGGCATTTACAACATGCCTTAAAGCCAATGATATGTTTTCAATCCCCCAAGTTCTAACAAGTTGTGTAGTTAAATGTTATGAAGAGAAAATCTGTCAAAAAAGTTTGTAAACCAAACATATATATATTTTTAATGGAATTAGCTATATGGAATATAACTTTTTCTAGTAATGTTCTTACTTTATAGATGTACTTAGATTTAATTGAAAAAGTGGATTTGAATAGGGAAGTGTGTTAGCGAGCTTCTTTTTCACAATCAGTACCAACCTCTTCAAACTTACAAAAGAAGGGTTAATTAAGGATGGCAATTTCCTCTGAGACCCATGGGGATCCTCATTATAGGGATTGCAATATTCCTCCCCATGGGGTAAGGATGGAGGCATTTTTTTCATGAGGAATTTCCTTTGCTCTATAGGGACTCGTTGGGATTTATATATAATAAAAAAATATAAATTTATTTTTATATATTTTTGTAAATATATTACCGATTAATTTTTACTCACCCAATCCAATTGGCTAACCTAACTCAACCTAAATTGCCGAGCCCAATTCCTTTTCTAGTCTTCCCAAATCCAACTCAAAAAGTCAATTGCAAATTGCAATTGCAAGTTCACAACTCATTTAGTAATAACCCTAGCGCACCATTAGATTCCTCATTTACTCTTCTTCTCTTCAAGCTCTCAACAGTGGCTAGTTGCCTCCACTCGCCTCCAAGGCTCTAACTCCAAGTCCTCACCTCATGATGCGCCTATTCCTTGACTTCATCAGTCTACAATCATCTCCTACTGGCTCTTGTAGTCGGCATCTCTTTTGACTTTATCAAGGTAATATGTCTAAATTCACACAAAGTATAAGGATGGAAAGAGGGAGAAGGAAAGAAAGGCAGAGGAAAGGAAGAAGAAAACAAAGTAGAGGGAAAGAAAGCCCATTACCTTGCCTCAACAATCACAGAATCTATGTTGCTCCCTCTTTTTATCTGTTCCTTTCTTTACTTTTCTTCTCTTTTTTTTTTTCTTTAAAGTCTTATCATCTTTCTATATTACCAAGCTTGCATGACCAACAATTTGATGTTAGATTATTAAATGTAATTGAAGTTTTTTGGAACAATAGAAAAATTTTGTGTTTAAACTACTACAATTAGCCCCAAAAGTATAAAGAAACTACAACTTTTTTCTATGGAAAAATCTTGGTTTTGTGTTTCAGAATTACTATGTTGGGACTTGGGAGTGTGTCATTAAATTAAAGTGAAGTTTTAACTTTCATTTTGCTTGTGATTTAGAGTACTTCAATAAATTTTGAGACTTGGTTTTGTGTCTAAGAAACTGTAAATTTTTCCGTTAAACAATTTGTTGTTAATTAATCAGTTCACAAGCCATTAATTGACTAACAAGTAATTTCTAATTTAATTCGTTCCTAGGTAGTGTTAGGGTGCGCTGATGATGAGGATTGATGAGTTAACAACGATGATGATGTTGTAGCTGACTAAGAAGACACCCAAGAAGGTGAAGGGGGGTATCTTTTGGCAGCACCTGTTTCACGTGTGGAAGGCTACATCCCACAGGCCATTTCAATCTGCCGAGCGATGTGGTTGGTAGTGAATTCCCCAGCCAAGTCCAATAATATAGGATTCCTGGCCAAGCCATGACAAGAAAGGGAGACAGGCTAAACAAGGATGGTGAAATGCTTATGGCCAAGAATGATTACACAACTATCAAAAGTGTACAATGAAGAAGTGCATTACGGTAAGAGCACTAGGAATAGAATATCTTTTGAGGTTTAAACATTCTAATTGGAGTGCTGTTGATGGGAATCAAGATGACAACATATCCATTACACACCCAAGGAGGTCCAGTCTCGCGAGTTAGAGCTAAGAAGATGCGTGAAGTTTTAAATGGCCTTATTGAGCAGATCTGGGTTGAAAACAACATACAACAAGCAAATCGAAGCTTGGATGATTATCAAGGCATGGTAAACATCATTCAAGTTCAAGAGAAGCTTAGTTGAGGTCATTTGCACAGAATTACACAATTTGTGTCAAAATCGCACAGTTCTGCCGCAATTTGTAGCAAACTGATATTTTGTGTTATTTTAGGTTATTTTTAGTGATTTTCACGTTTTTTGTATTATTTTTGGGCTGAACATTCGCTTATTTGAAGCCCAATTCGTGGTTATTAGGTTTAGGACTTAGGGTGTTAATTTCCTATTCTGATTAGGATTTGTTTTCTCTATTTAAAAGGCTTGTAATCCTAATGGGGAGGGAGGCTATTGAATCTGAGATTTTGAGAGACTTTTCTCTTTGGTTCGTTTCAGAACTTTACAGAACTTATCAAGATTATTCTTGTGGCGTTCTAACCTAACTTATCATTCTCGTTCTTAATCGTTCGAGGGTGTGGCGTCAACCAACTTTTTATACCTCTGGTTCTTGTTGCGTCATAGATAACGGGTCAAGGTTTTTTTTACCTTTGGTTCTTGTTGCGACATAAACAACGGGTCAAGGTCCTATTATAAACCTGATTTAGCTTTCCTGGAGTTTAGAAATCCCTTGACGTGCTGTGGGTCTCATTGTTCTCTTTGGGGTTCTCATCAGCTGTATTTACATGTATACAATTATGACATCAAAATAATGATAGTAAATGCATCTACTATGATTTGTAATGAGTACCCTTACTTCATACTAGACAATCCTTATAACCATAAAATATAACGACCTCTCTTTCAAAGCTTTTCTCAAAGAATAAACCTAAAAGTAGTGGTGGGAGAAGGATGGATGACCGTTTAAGGGCTTGCGAGGGAGTGACTTGATGCCATTCTGATGCTGGCTTCTCGGATTGATTGTGTGATGCTCAAGAAAATGACCCAAGAGTAAAAGGTGAATCATACCATCTTCTAGCCATGGTGTTCTGCAGACTTGGGAGTGTGTGACGGTGTTAGGGATCTAGAAAGTGTAAAGATAAATGGTGATTTTGAGGTTATTGGGTGTGAGTATGGTGTAGCGGTAACGATGGAGAAGTTGCTGTATGTGAGATGAAGGTCTTGACATCTAGAGAAAGGAGATGGGGTTATGCCAGTGACCTCGGGTGTTTAGCGTTTTCTTCAAGTTGAAGGAAAAATAATAATAATATATGTACAGTGGCATTTTCGTAAATTTTGGGTGACAGGTTAGAAGTGTATAGTGACCTAATGGATAGGTTTAGGTGAGTTGTCAAGCTTTAAATGGTTCTGGACATTGTTAGCAATTTTTCTAGTAGTGATATTATGAATTGCCTAGTGGTTCTAACGAAGCATCGTTGGTTCCAGCGAAGTTCTTTTAATCTACTAAATATTGCCCATTTTCAGTAACTATCAAACCATACGAAATTCCCTTTTCTGGACAACTACTTGAGTGCAGCTGGCAAAACAACATCTATGCAAGATCTTGGTAAAGTTCCTAAGGTCTGCACAAGATTATGGAAGATACTTAAGTAACTATAATCTTTCCTGGCCTTTTCCAACATAATCGTAATTTGTGCAGCCGCCTTTACATTAAATATGGTGGCTGATGGTTGATGGAGACTAAAATAGCATCTTCTTCTGGTTGATTTTCCACAGGATTTCAAGTTTTTAGTTAGCATCAAAAGGTACTATTTCAAGAATCAAGTTCACTCTCATCTCTTCACCACCTAGCCCTTCCTGGTGAAGTTGGGCAACATCGCTAGTGCCAAGCTTCATTGGCACAATTACCTTGCTTTGCCAGATGGACAACATCCACCCATCCATGCCTACCAAGCCATTGCTCCCAAGGTTTATCCTGAATACTTCCCATGAGCTTGGATTCATGGGTTTATGCCTACCTGCAGTGAAGATATAGTATTGATAAGCACTCGTTCGAATGTTCAAGTGTAAAATGCATAAATGTGTGTAACAAAGAAAGATACTCCCTTGTGCATTGAAGGATATGATGAAGATAATCATGGCTGTACTCTTTTTGTCCTGTGACCATGGTAGGTATTTTTACACTGTGGCTGTACATGGCTGGCATTGAGCCAATATAGAGAGAGTGAGCAATATTGATGTGTGTTATGATATCGTTGTTTCGAGCCAAGTACTGTTGGTCGACTATGCCTACTAACACATGAAATATAAAAAAAGTATGTTACGAGTCAGGATTACTTGTGACCGGTAATTTTGTCCTTTTATATTGAAGAATGATGAGGTGCATAATTGGTAACCATGTTATATAAGCATCATAGGGTCAGCTATGAATAGCTTTCCCATAGCCAGAGGAATAACAGTGGCCAGCTTTGTTCATGGCTAGAGTGTGAACTATGTGCAATCAGAAGAACATTCCCGCTAACCACTAAGTCACGGAGGGGTAAATCTCATCAAGCTACATTTCGCCATAGCGATGGAAATGTGATGAAGATAAGTGGAGTTGTCTCCATGAATGAGGGGATGTCGGCTGCATCCATGGCCTCCGATACGACAAGGTGTGATACCACTAACAACACTAGCTCTTCTTGTCATACCCACATTGTTAAAGGGTGGTCCTGTTAGTCGAGTATTGCACCACCATGCACAAGTGACCACCAAGGGACCGTCGGCCGCTACTTGATGGATTTTTATTGTTGGAGGGTAGCCATCCTATCTAATCGCAGGGTTGCAATTATTACTGATCTCACGCTAATTATAACGAGTTGCACTGACTTTTTGTCCATTTCTTAGAGGCAATGAGATAAGATATGTAGAGGTGAGTAGCCTTTTGCCCATTGTTGGAGGCTAAATGAGATAGTAAATTTGACCCTTTATCCATTGCTGGGAGCTATATGGATGTAGCCCATTGTCCATTGATGAGAGCTATGTATATGTAGTGAATTAGGCTCTTTATCCATTGCTAGGAGCCAAAGGGTGTGGAGATGAGCATCGTTGCAAGAGACCATGACTATTGAGAAGTGTCTAACCATGTGTTTATAGTAAGATAGGCTCTTCATCCATTGTTAGGAGCCAGTTGTGGCAGTGAGCATAACAGTAGAATTCATGGTTGTCAAAAGTATCTAGCCATATTGTGACGATAGCATAGCCGTGTTTAGCCATGTACAGGAAAATGCCGTTAAGGCATGATGTATCTATGCCATTCCTAGCAAAGTAAGCAAATGTTGTTCCTGGCGATGCATGAGAGAATCATGTTGAGTACCATTTCTAGCGAAGCTGACTTGCAATTATTAGCAAAAAATAACATGGTTGATGGTAGAAGAACAGATCACGTGTGTCTTTGCTGATGTGGAGCTGCACATGCCATCCATTTTAAAGCAGTGCAAATTCATCCCTCAACAAGTAGCAATTGGCAAATGTCTTCACAAGTTATTAAGTTAAGGTTATATTTCTTTTATTTTCTTATCTTTTAATTTGTATTCTAAACTTTTATTACATTTGAAATTCAAGTTCTAACCATGGTGTGAATTTTTTTGATCTATTTGAGAAGTTAGAGTAGAATGATGATGAGGATGATGAATCTAGAGTAAACTTTAAACAAGAATATTTCTTTATATAAATTATTATATAAAGAATTTTTTTTAAGATTCTGTTAACTTAGAGTACTTGTTTCAAGAAGTTATTTTCTCAACTTGAAGTTGTTGATCAAGCTTAAGTTGTTGCCACAAAGCTACCTTTGCCTTGCTGGATGGATGTGTATGCATTTGTATCCCTTCTTTTATGCCTTTTTTTTTTTTTTTTTGTGAACCTACAGTTAGAGTCGGACATGTATGGCAGTTTATAGTTTTATTTTTTTATGAATTTGCTACTAGACCTGGACTTGTATGGCAGTTTATGCCCTTTTTTTTATGAACTTGTTGCTGGACGTGTATGACAATATGTATTTGCTACAACTAGACATTATTGGATTGTATGCGTAATATATTTACTTGTTTGAGTTGTTTCAAATTTTTACTTTTTTTCTATTTACTAAGAAAAGAAATAAAGTTAAATTCTACATATTTAATATTTGCTAGTTACTTGTGGGGACTTATCATTCCCCATCGATATAGGGATGATGGCCATTTTTGGCCCCTCACTAAAAATCCCCATGGGGATCCTCGTACCTACCATGGGTGGGGATGGAGAAAGGGTTCTTACCCCATAATGACCAATTGCCATCCCTAGGGTTGATGCATATAAGTTTGACTTAAACAAAATGAAGAGAGATTGTAAGCACAATCTTATCTTCAATTTGCACCACCTTGCCAAGAGTTTCTTTGTTGGCACATCCTTTTGGTTGCTAAAGTTTAACACATGGCAATGGAGAAGCTGTTTAAATTTAAAAGCTAAATACTTGGATTAATTTCCATGAAATCAAGTGTTGAGCATTGTTTACATCATAAATTATAAATTTATTTGATAATGTCATGTGTCACATTATTTGAACAAGTGACAATGATTAAGCCACATTAGATTAGTTGCTACTATGATATGAAAACTAACAAACCATCAAGATGAATGCCATGTGTTTACACAAAAAATAACACCCAATTTGAAGTTGCCACATCATCAAGATTTTATTGTTGGTCTAGAATTAATTTCCCTGCAATCCAAATTGCAGGTGTTATGGTAAACCAATTATGAAAATTGTGCATGTAGGCTTCAACACATGGTTTGCATCCAACCTAAAACCAATTGGCATTAGGTGGATTGGCCTTCTGATGAGAACCCCAAAGAGAACAATGAGACCCACAGCATAACAAGGGATTTCTAAACTCCAAGAAAGATAAATTAGGTTTATAATAGGACCTTGACCCATTGTTTATGTCGCAACAAGAACCAAAGGTAAAAACCTTAACTCGTTGTCTATGACGCAACAAGAACCGGAGGTATAAAGTTGGTTGACGGCACACCCTCGAACAATTAAGAACGAGAATGATAAGTCAGGTTAGAACACCACAAGAATAATATTGATAAGTTCTGTAAAGTTTTGAAACGAACCAAAGAGAAAAGTCTCTCAAAATCTCAGATTCAATACCTTCCCCCCAATTAGGGTTACAAGCCCTTTAAGTAAGGAAAAGTAATTCTAATCAGAATAGGAAAACTAACACCTAAAGCCCTAATCCTAATAACCACGAATTGGGCCTCAAATAAACGAATGTTCAGCCCAAAATAATACAAAAAATGTGAAAATCACTAAAAGTAACCTAAAGTAACATGAAATATTAGTTTGCTACAAATTGTGACAAAATTGCGAGATTTTGATGCAGACTGTGTAGTTTAGCACAAATGACCTCAATTAAGCTTCTCTTGAACCTGAATGATGTTTATCATGCCTTGATAATCATCCAAGTCTCGATTTACTTCTTGCATGTTGTTATCAACCCAGATCTGCTCAATAAGGCCATTTAAAGCTTCTCGCATCTTCCTAGCTCTAGCTCTCGTGACTGGACCTCCTGGAATGTGTAATGGATCTCTTGACGTGGTACATGTGGGGTCATCTTGAATCCCATCATTCCCTCTCTCCTCAAAAGGATTTGTCCTCAAATCGTCACCTACATCAAAAGGAGAAAGACCAGAAACATTAAAAGTAGTACTAACATTATACTCACCAGGAAGCTCCAACTTGTATGCATTGTTGTTTATCCTTGCAATCACTTGAAATGATCCATCGCCTCTTGGTTGCAACTTAGAATGCCTTTGTGCAGGGAATCGCTCCTTTCGCATATGCACCCAATCTCCAGGTTCAAACACAACTTCTTTGCACCCTTTGTTGGCCTGATTTGCATATTGCTCAGTTCGTCGCTCTTGCATCAAAACAGCACCAATGCCAATACCTGATGCATCACATTCAATTTCAAAAGTTTTAGTAAAATCAGGTAAAGCAAGTAATGGTGCAGAAATTAAATTCTCCTTAATCAAATTGAAAGCATTCTCCTGTTCACTTTCCCACTTAAATCCAACACTTTTTTTCACAATTTCAGTCAATGGAGCTGCAATTGTGCTGAAGTCCTTGATGAATCTTCGGTAGAAACTTGGCAAACCATGAAAACTTCGCACCTCAGAAATATTCTTAGGTGTTGGCCATTCTTCAATAGCCTTAATCTTTTCTTTGTCTATTGCAATTTCATTAGCTGAAACAACATACCCTAAAAAGACAATCTGATTTGTGCAAAATGAACACTTTTTAAGGTTAGCAAACAACTTTTCTTTTCTCAAAACCTCTAATACCATTCACAGATGCTCAATATGATCAGTTAAACTCTTACTATATATCAGAATGTCATCAAAATAAACAACCATAAATTTGCCAATGAATGCACGCAAAACATGATTCATTAATCGCATGAATGTACTAGGTGCATTAGTTAATCCAAATGGCATAACTAACCACTCATATAAACCATGTTTCGTTTTAAAGGCTGTTTTCCATTCATCACCTTCCTTCATCCTAATTGGATGATACCCACTTTTTAAATCAATTTTAGTAAATATGCAAGAACCATGCAGTTCATCTAACATGTCATCTAATCTAGGAATAGGGTGACGATACTTTACAGTGATTTTGTTGACAGCGCAACAATCAATGCCCATACGCCAAGTCCCATCCTTCTTAAGCACAAGCAGCACTAGAACTGCACATGGACTCATGCTTTCTCTCACATGTCCCTTTTTCATGAGTTCTTCAACCTACCTTTGAAGTTCTTTCATCTCATTGGGATTGCTTCGATATGCTGGTCGGTTTGGAATTGTTGCGTCAGGAATGAAGTCAATTTGATGCTCGATTCCTCTTATTGGTGGTAGACCATTAGGAACATCATTTGGAAACACATCCTTGAAGTCCTACAAAAGAGATTTAACAGCACTAGGCAAAGAATCATTAAGTTCGTTAGTGTTGAAATAAGCATCTTTATACAGAAGCACAAACATAGGCTGCTTTGCAAAGAACGCAGCCTTGACATCACTTTCTTTTGCATAAACACTCATTGATTTTCTCTCTTTGTTTTCAACACTCTCGATCTTTTCTCTCTTTTTTAACTCTTTCTCTACTATTTTCTCTCTGCTTTTCATACCCTCAAGTTCACTCTCTTTTCTCAGCTTACTCTCTTTTTTCAGTCCTAGTTGATCCTCGTAAACCTACCTTGGACTCAATGAGACAAGAGTAATTGTTTTCCCTTCCATGATGAACGAATAGCGATTTTTGAAGCCATCATGTGTTACTCTCCTATCATATTGCCATGGTCTCCTTCAACACTCTCGATCTTTTCTCTCTTTTTTAACTCTTTCTCTACTATTTTCTCTCTGCTTTTCATACCCTCAAGTTCACTCTCTTTTCTCAACTCACTACTAGAAAAATGACGTATGCGGACCGATCATATACGGACCGACACGTGTCGGTCCGAAAAAATAAATATTCGAACCAATATCGGTCTGAATATATTCCGGTGGGGGAAAATATACTGATGAACATATTCAGACCGGTATCGGTCCGTATATTTCTGG